CCCCCCCACGCACCCATCACTAACCCCTCCCCAAATACACCCATCACTGACCCCACCCACATATAACCACATCACTGAACCCTCCCAACCGAAACCCGTCACTGAGCCCCCATGCACCCATCACTGACCCCCCAACATCCAACCCCATCACTGACCCCCCAATATACCCATCACTTAACCCCCCCGCACCCATTACTGACCCCCCACACCCCAACCCCATCACTGAACCCCCACATAGACTCAGCACTCATCACTCACCCCCCCACACATGCACCCAGCACCCAACTCCCATCACTGACCCCCCCACCCCATGGACATCACCTACCCCACCCCACACATACCTACCACTGCCAGAGCACCCATCTCCCCTCCTACACATCTATTAGTGCTGGGTTTCCCACCAACCCCAACACCCTGCTTCTCCGCTGGGGCACCCAGCACAACCTAGCACCTATCACCGCTGGGCCCCCAGAACGCCAACACTGCTCCTGTCGACGCTGAGGCACCTGTGCACCATCCCCAGCCCGTACCCACCACCGGGGCTCCTGGGCCCCAGAGTTACGCCGACACCCCATTTAATACTACAGCCTAGTGCCCCCAGCCTGCTAGCAGCTGGCTGGCCGAGGGGGCACATCTCTTACCGCTCCGTACTGGCTCAGCTCCTGACTCTGTTTCTCCTGCAGGGCAGCCACTGTGGCCGTGGCCGTGGCCGTGGCTGTGGCAGCTGCTGCGGCCACAGCGGCTGCAGCAGCCGCCTGGGTGAAGTCGGCTGGGGGCCGGCCCGTGTGCGAAGGGAGGCCCATGCCGCCGGGGCCATTGGGGCTGCCTGCATAACTAGAAAAAGGGGGGGGGAAGTCACAGGGCCGTTTCTGCAAAGGGCTGTGGGACTCCCCCCATTGAAGGCCGTAATGGCGTTTCCTTCCCCCCACCCCCCATCTCCCAGAAGGAGCCTCCATCCCATCCCAAGACTGGGCTCCCCAGTGCCATCAATGATGGTGGGAGGATGGGGATGGCTCTTTATCTGGCCAGCAGGGGGAGCACAGCACCGCAGTTTGTGTGGGCATGGGGTGTTTGAGGGCTTATTAGAGAGAATAGCTCCATTCTCCCATTACACCAGGGCTGCCCATGACCCTGAGAAGCCATCGTGCTCAGGAGAGCACTCCCACCACACAGAGACTGGGCATGACACCATCTGAGCCATGCCAAGGCCTCCCCCTTACCTAGTGGTGAAGCCCGGCCCCCCGGGGTACGTGCTACGGCCGTACATCCCCTGCTGCACGTAGCCCTTGCCGGTGGCCCCCTCTGGGAAAGGCTGCTGTCCCATAAACTGAGGCGAGTTCATTCCAGAGCCGCTGCCAGCCATGCCGGGCATCATGGGGTTTCCAGAGGCGTTTCCCCCAGGGCCCATGGGGTTTCCAAAAACCTGCACAGGACAGATCCCAAGAGAAGTGGTGTGAGGGGGTGAGAGAGGCAGCACCCAGCCCCGGGAGCCCCTCACCACACCCCCTTAGCCAAGGGGCTGCAGCCCAAGCCCCAGCAGTGTGCCTGGAGTGGGGGAAGGAAAGAGGGGGATGGAGGGATGAGGGGGGCTGGTGGAGGAACACGTGTGGGCACAGAGTTAGCAAGGGGCGGTGTTTGTGGGGAACTGATGGAGTGGGGGTGGTGTGTGGGGGGAGATGAGTTGGCAGAGGCAGAACGTGAGGGGCTGGGGTTGGAGGGATGGGAGCTGGGATGGGACATATGTGGGGGGCTGGTGTGGCAGGGACAAAGGGTGGGGAGAAGGGATTGGCAGAGGGGCAGGAGGTGGGTACGGGTCCCAGGACAGGTCTCAGGGACGCTTTCCCCTTGGCAATGTTTTAGGGGCTCCCAAAAACACCGCAGCTCTGGGCAGCTCTCTAGACCTTGCCCTTGCCACGCCCAGGGGACCCCCAGCTGTGTCCCCGTGACTTGGAGAGGTGGCCGCGGGTACCTGGCTCTGGGACGTGTTGTTGCTGACGCCCCACACGGTGGTTACCACGGAGAGAGATCCTGCAGGCTGATTGGTGCTCTGTTGCCAAGGAACTGACTCGTATGCAAATGAACCATCACTAGAAAGAAAACAAGGCCATTAAAAATCCCTTTGGGAGGTTGGTGGGGGCGATGGTGCAACTGGACAGACACACGTGGCCAGGGCTGGAGGCATCCATGGCCAGAGAGGGGGCTCCGGTGGATGAGGAGGGGAGGGGGGGAGGGAAGTTATTTAAGGTAAGCACCAATGTGGACACAAGAACCAATGGATATAAACTGGCCAGAAACAAGTTTAGGCTTGAAATTAGGTGAAGGTTTCTAAGCATCACAGGAGTGAAGTTCTGGAACAGTCTTCCAAGGGGAGGAGTGGGGGCAAAAAACTGAACTGGCTTCAAGACTGAGCTTGATAAGTTTATGGAGGGGATGGCCTGATGGGGCTGCCTACAATGGCATGGAGCCGATCTGCGACTGCTACCAACAAATACCCCCAACAGCCAGCGATGGGACACTTGATGGGGAGGGCTCTGAGATACTACAGAGAATTCTTCCCCAGGTGTCTGGCTGCTGGGTCCTGCCCACATGCTCAGGGTCGAACTGACAGCCAGATTTGGGATCAGGAAGGAATTTCCCCCCGGGTCAGACTGGCAGAGACCCTGGGGGGGTTTCGCCTTCCTCTGCAGCGTGGGGCCCGGGTCACTTGCAGGTTTAAACTAGTGTAAATGGTGGAGTCTCTGTAACTTGGGGCCTTTATATCAAGATTTGGGGACTTCAGTAACTCAGCCAGAGGTGAGGGGTCTGTTACAGGAGGGGGTGGGCCAGGTTCGGTGGCCTGCCATGTGCAGGAGGGCAGACTAGATGATCACGATGGTCTATGAGGTTATCTATGAGTGTTGGGAAGAGCTGGGATGGTATCTGTTGCCAAGCAGGAGGTGCTAAGTTGGGGGGATCCATGATGGGGGAGGAGGCGCTGAGTCTATGTGGGGGAGCAGGGACAGGGCAGGAGGCAACACAAGGTGGTTATCTGCGAGGTTTGTGCGGAACTGATACAAGACACATCACCCCGTCCTCTGGTGCCACGTGGTGGGTAATGCTGGAGATGTGCATGGGAGCTTTGTTGCTCTCCCCATCCCAGCCGGCAGAAGGGGTGAGGGAGGACCCCAGTTCCCCATACATCTCCCTGGAAAGCCCACCCCCAAATTCCAAGGTGTGCCAGGGACAGACAGACGGACTGACGGACAGACGAACAGAAACACTCACCCATGCGGCGTGGGCGGGAGGGATGGTTTCATTGGGTTCATGGAGTTCATTGGCTGCAGGCAGGCGAGTGGGCTGCGTGCTGGGTCTTCGGGAACAGCGACGGCTGCTGGGTGGCTCCAGCCGGACTGGGGAGGGATGGACAGAGCGCCAAGGCATTAACACTACAAGGAGGCAGCAGCCACACGGAGTGTTAGCTCTCTAGGCAGGCTCTCCTGGCATGGGGCACTGCAGGGGGAGCTCCAGCTACTCCAGCCCCGGCAGCAGCACCAGCTGTGGGGGGAGCGCCCAGCTACTACAACCCCGGCCTCTCCCAGCAGCGCCAGCTGTGGGGAGCGTGGCAGGAGTGCTGTGTGGGGAGACCTCTTCCAGCAGGGGGCACTGTAGGGAATGGGGCAGCAGCTCTGGCTGGGGGGGAGCTCCCCGCTAGACCTGCACTGGGAATGGTTTTCCCTGTGAAAATTATTCCCGTTCTATGTCAGAACACGATTGCTCACAAAGCCCCCAACCCCTCGGCACCCCCACATTCCCTGACACACAGTGATGCCCCTCTGCCCAGTGGCTGAGGTGACAGGGCTTTGCCCGTCTTGGCCTGAGTAACCCTTTCCCCAAGGTGCTAATGCTCTGCCACCTCCTTGGGGGTCCATGGGGTGGCCCCACGCTGCCCCTAGGAGACCCACAGGGCAGTACTGGACACTGAGCCGTGGTGGCAGGGGCTGTGACTCAGACAGGGCTGAGGAGAGAGCAGGGCAAGGCTAGGCAAAGAGCCGATGCGCTCGCCCACCTGCTCCGCCCCCCACGTCTGCTCTGCCTGAAGCCCCCTCCCACTGGCCATGTTTCTCCACCCTGCTGCACCCCCTCTCCATATTAATGGAGGCTCCCACGCAGCCCCATGACATCTCATGAGCATGATCAGGCAAGGACGGTATCTTTATCCCTGGGTGGCAGAGGGCTGTGGGGAGGGAGCTGTCACCCAGGGAGGCTGGAGCTCAGCCAGGAACGGCACCCTGGAGTCCTGAGTCCCAGGTCGCACCCGCCCTCCTCCCGGTCCATCCCTGGCACCCCACAGCCTCCCCCCCACTTCCCAAGGCCGGGCGGGGGCGGACCCTGGCGCCTTGCACGGTGTTTGTGTCCCAGCCCTTTGGTCGGGTCAGATAAGGTGAACCCTTCAACTCAGTTCAACCCCCTTAGGCTGGACCCCTGGTCTCACCCATCCCCTTGTATTGGGCCCCCAGAACTCCTCTCTTGCCCCCCCCCAATGACGTGTGGGGGCTCTCTTGAGGGGAAGTGGTCACATTGGCTCGGCAACGCCAACTACGTTAGCTTCACAGAGCAGCCAGCAGGAACTTGGCGTCCTGCCCAGATCTGGCAAAACAAGGTCCTGGCATGCGCGGGCTGGAGGGCTGGCCTAGTTTCGCTGGGTTAACTCTCCCTGGCCCACAGATCGCAGCCAGTGGCATGACGCAACCAGAGCAAACCCACAGCACCTGCCGTCTGGCTCAGGGGCCACTACGCCCCAGGCACAGCAGGCAGGGGGAGAAGGTCTCTTTAGGAAACGCCCTCTCCCAGCAGGGGACTCTGTCAGGGGCAGGGCAGTAGCGCTGGCTGTGGGTTGAGCTCCTGGCTACTCCATCCCTGATCTCTCCCAGCAGGGGGTGCTGTGGGGGTGGGGCAGGGCACTGGCTGTGGGGGGGAACTCCCAGCTACTCCAGCCCCAGCCTCTCCCAGCAGGGGGGGCTGTGGGGGGGGGGGCAGTGCACTGGCTGCGGGGGGATTTCCCAGCTTCTCCAGCCCCAGCCTCTCCCAGAAGAGGGGGCTGTGGGGGGGTGGGGCAGCGCACTGGCTGAGGGGGGATTTCCCAGCTTCTCCAGCCCCAGCCTCTCCCAGCAGGGGGCACTGTGGGGAGCAGGGCAGGGCACTGGCTATGAGGGGAGCTCCCAGCTACTCAAGCCCCAGCCTCTCCCAGCAGGGGGTGCTGTGGCGAGTGGGGCAGGAGCGCTGGCTGTGGGGCGCCCTGAAACGTCCCGTGCCCAACGTCCCCGCATGCAGCAGCGTGCCATCCCAAGCACAGTGAGGAAGGAAAGCGTCTCCGGCTGGAACAGCCCCGACCAGCTCCTGGATCCTGTTTGCAAACACGAGGTGGAGCCAAGGCCTCCTGGCGGGGAGCCGGCAGCACGGGAATCCGGCAGGGCCCTCTGGAGCAGAGGGGAAGTAAGGCGGGGCAAAGGCTGCCCTCCCCCTTTTTTGCCTGGTGCTGGGGGGGAAGGGAAGCAGGCCTGGGGCTGGGACAATAACTGAAGCCCCCCCCTCCGCCCAGCAGCCTCCACCTCTCAGCCATGGAGCACCAGAGCAGGGGAAACAGTAAACCCTGGCTCCCTGCCACCGCCCGCTTCCCTTGTGTGCCGGAGACAGGCCTGTGGCCAGAGCACCCCACACCCCAGTCAGGGGCTCCTGATCCCCGTGGGGAGCCTGGGATCCTGCCTCAGCAGGGACCTGTCTGCCAGCTGCCCCTCCACCCGCTAGGGGCAGGGGCAGCCTCTCCCCATATGGGCAGTGCCTGGCTGAGCAGACAGAGGAGGCCTGTCTGGAGCGAGGGGGAAGGGGGCTGCTGGCTGGGCCCTCAATGGCAGGCTGCTTGGCTGGTGCTCCCAATGGGGGAGGGGAGCGCATGAGCTCAGCCGCAGGAACAGGGGCAGGATGCAAAGGGGCTGCGGGGGAGGGAGCCCGGTGCATGGCGGGAGGGGGGGCGGGAGCTGCTCATCCCCCCCATGAGCTGCAGGGCTGGGGGGAGGCCTGAGAGGGGAGCCGGGGGAGGGGTGTTCACAGGTGCTCTGCTTGCCACAGGAAAACTACAGCAAGGATTGTTACATCTCCAGCACTGAGTCCCCGCCCCCAGCCCACCCACTTCCCCTGACCAGCTGGTCCTTAACTAATGATCCAGCCCCAGTGAACGGTGCTAAACCCCGTCCCTAACTGACAGGATGTCCCCAATCTCCAACTCCAAGCACCCACCAGGCTTCCAGACACCCCCCTGAGCTCTGCCTACACCCACCAGGCACCTTAACAAAGACCTCCCTTTTATTAAGTTCAACCCGCCGTCCCCCCGCTGCAACAGCTAAAATCCCAGCTCTTTGGGTCAGGGACTTGTTGTTCTAGGTTTGTCCAACACCTGGCACTCTGGGGTCCTGGTCCGTGACTGGCACTCCTAGGCACCATTGCAGTGCAATTAATAGAGTAAGACAGAAAGTACTCAAGTTTAAGGTCCCACTAGTAGCATCGGCTCAGCACCTATGTTATGCTGCACATTTGATCCCAAAGAGAGGAACAGAGAATTCAGGTGTGAGCCCCGGGGCTGAGGTGGCAGTGCCATGGGAGTCTTAAGTTCTGAACATAAGAACAGCCATACTGGGTCAGACCAAAGGTCCATCTAGCCCAGTATCCTGTCTTCCGACAGTGGCCAATGCCAGGTGCTTCAGAGGGAATGAACAGAACAAGTAATCATCAATTCTGCATGTATCTTTTTGCTCTGATCTCTGCGAATTTAGTGCTGCACTAACCAAGTTCTTTGGATTAAATTTTCTAGGTTTTTTAAGAGGAAAAAAATCCATTGCTTTCAGACATCCCTTCAACCAACAATAATGTTAATACTCCTAACCCGCACTCTTTATTGCTTTGCAAAGAATGGGAGAAACTGAGGCACACTTTCCCCTCACACAGTCACTTCCCTCCCTGGGTGCAGCCCCAGGAGAGGAATCCAAATTTAGGGGAGTGGCTTCACCAAGCATCTTGCAGGCTAGTGGGAGAACTGGCCATAGAACCCAGTCTCCTGAGTCCCTATCCAGTGCTATATCCACTAGGCCACACAGCCTCCCCAGGGCAATCTTCGCTAGCTGTGCACAGATCCTGCAAACAGACCCAGATGAGCAGGGTCAGAGCCTCACCAGGGCTTCGTCCACACAGATCCGCTTGTCCAGCCCTTGGGACTTAATATCTACTGCTCGAGCTCAGCGTGTGATTTTCAACCATTCGTACCTCAGTCACTAAACCAAAAATATTTGGTCTCCAACCCAAGCCAAGGCCACAGTCCCCAGGAAGGCCCTGGAGTCAAACCTCAGCCGACTTTGCCCTGAATACGGCTGGATATTTTCCCCACCTCCAGTGACTCAAATGGCTTTTGCTCAAATTTTCCAAAATAAAATAATAAAAAAAAACCAATAATTTCCTTCAGGCAGACCCCCCAAGCCTGGAAAATTCCTGCCCCAGACAGCGCATGTTTTGGAAAACTGTGAACATCCAAGGGCTCGTTTGGATTAAAACATAGAAACAAAATCTCTCAAAGCCTTTTAGAAGAGAAAACAGCACATTCTGGTCCAGTGTCAGACCCCATTTCCCCTTCCCCATAGCTTTTCTTCCAGACTAAGCACAGCTGCAGGCTAGAACATCAGTTGCAACAATGTGTTCCCATTTATCACCCAAAGAGAGAAACACAGTAGGTCACATGCACACACTGCCATTATAAATTAACCCCGGAGTTACTGGACTAAAGTCCAGTGGTGTGCAAAGCACATGTCTAACCTTCCTAATATCAGCATTATGAACCCACCTAACTCAGCTGTCTCCTGTACATTCAGATAATCAGGCTCTTTCCTCTTCCTCAGGAGAGAGGTGTTTTGGGCCACACACAGGCAGGGCTGCCCGGGGGGCAAGTGGGGCAATTTGCCCCAGGGGCCCCCACGAGAGTTTTCGGCGGGTCTTCGGCGGCAGGTCCTTCAGTGCCACCGAACACACCCGGAGCGACTGAAGGACCCGCTGCCGAAGACCCGGAGCTTCTTCCGCTCCAGGTCTTCGGCGGCAATTCGGCGGCGGGTCCTTCACTCGCTCCGGGACCCGCCGCCGAAGTGCCCGAAGACCCGGAATGGAAGGACTCCCGCCGCCGAAGACCCCAGGCCCCCTGAATCCTCTGGGCGGCCCTGCACACAGGTCTGTTTGTGACCCCCTCACCCATACACACCAAGCACCCCATAGGCCCCGCACTGCCATCCCAGCTAGCAGTGCTGGGGCAGTGTGGTTCCTGGCACTGCCCAAACACAGCACCCTCTTCCCTAGTGCTCAGCAAGGGGCCGGGCTG